ATCTGGATGTTCGAGACAAAGCCTAAAAGCTCCTGCATACTCTATCAGTGTACTGTCTGATTAAGCTTGTTTGTGTCAATTTAGCACATTTTGAACAAGATTTGTAACTCAATAGTGAGATTACATATCATTTCTTTAATGGTACGTTCTATAGAGTCCAGAACAAACTCCAAATGCAATTCTATTTTTATTAAACAAAGGTAGAGTAAAGCTGACAACAGAAACACATTGGACCACTTCAGGCCTACCTCCAGTGGCAGAACCTGCTGTATCTTCTCTCTGATTGACTGTTTATTTGTAATTAAAAGACCACAGTGAGCCACCAATAAAACATGAAGGCTTATCTTCACATAACTGCAGTAACTGAGCCACCTGCTCCACCAGCCTTTCTCTGCTGTCTCTACTAATACATTCTTGTTGCTATTACAATTACTAAAAACCTTTTTAAAAAACATCTCTGGCTGTGTATATCAATGTGTCCACCAAACCAGTTGTTACCAGTAGTCATTTGGATCCTATGTGTGTCTATGTAAATACTGCAATTAATAGAACAAGACAATAAAACTAGATCTATAAAAATCCTGTTTGTGACAGATTACACAAGCAAAAATGCAGAACATGTTTGTTTGTGTAAAAGTACAAGTGCACACATTAGCAAGGGTTTCAAAAACCTCCCTAAAAAATGCTAACTTTACTGATGTCTACCATTAAAGCTAAAAACTATGTTTTAACTTCATAGTTGTGGATGTTTAGTTGGTCATTTTGGTTGAAGAGTTGGTCTCATTCATAAACCTAACATCATGGATGAACTCACCACTTCAGAAAACTTAAATATTGTCTCTAAAATTCCTCTTAATTCAATTGTATGAAGATTATACAATTCTCCACTGCAGATAGCTACTACCTAACATCTCTCTGGACCAGAACTCCACATTTATGAGGTTGATATATATATATATATACATAAAGATCATTTCTGTTTAAAAAATAATTAAAATTTACTACAAATAAGAAATAGGAAAGAATTGACTATTGATGAGTTGCTGATTTACATGTGAATAATATTTTTAATAAATTTAAAACTCAGACACCACCCTGAGTTGTATTGTATAAAAAATATACTTACTGTGCAATAAATGTTGTTTACTGTCCGTCATTTTCTTCTCTTCTCATCTGGGATGTCTTGTGACTATGGATGTCTGGTTGTGACTATTTTAATTTCCATCTCATCATTATATAGTTTGGCCTGCCTCTAGTTCCCTCCCCTGGAATACACATCACCTGTTCCTAACCAAATCTGACCAGTCACAGATCAGAAAAATTAAGCTAAAGGCAATAAATTGGGGGGCTGAGCAGAAGTACATTCCCACAGGTCTGCCTACTCACCAATAACAATCTACTTCTTTCAGTACAGTAAATAAGAACATTTAAATGAAGATATCACAAGAAAATAAACACAATCCATGTAGGAACATTGTTTTTGCTGCATGGGTCTTGGAGAAGGTTAGATCACATCAATATCTTAACATGTCAATAGCCCGACCACTGACTAATCTGATCACTCATACAACACAGTCATACAGGAAGTTTACAATAATGTGACTACATGGACCAATAGATTGATAAGCTTTTCATCCAACAAAAATGCAAACATACCCTTACATTGAAGAAATGCTGTAGCTCGGGCTACCCACATTTATTTTGAGCTTCTGCCTTACTTTTAATATTTGGATGGTATTTCTAATATCACTTTTTTATGTATTATTTTTTTTACCTCTTTTTAACCAGGAAGTCCCATTGAGAAAATCTAAAATTTCTTTTAGAAAAAAATCTTCATTTTCATTGTAACTGATTTTTCTGGCTGGCTTTGGTAAGAGGTTGACTACTTTATATGGGTTATTGATCTGATTGGTTGAAGTTCACCTGCAGTAGACAGTGATAGGCAGATGGTCTGTGTCTAAGTTTCCAACAACTTTCCCAATGCTTCTCTTAAACAAAATTAAGTTTCATACCTAGGTCTGAGAACAATGACCAAGCCTTACACTGATCCTATTTCTGCTCAAAATGTCCTCGACTCAGTTTCTACATTATCTGCATCAGACAAGAAATACAGAAAAAACGAATAACTTGAATGAGCACCGCTTCTTTACCCTGAACCTCAGCTCAAAATCAACGTACCGCCGCCATTTTAGCAGTATGCCCACAACAGCCACTCATCCACCACCTCCAAACCCACAAACGTTCAATCCATCTTGTCACACCTCCTTTCCATAATCTTCTCTGTCCATCCCTCCACGAACACGCCACACCGGATGATGCATGAAAATGGAGCTAAAATTATGGCACCAGTTCCTCCCATCATGGAACAGCATTTCATTCTTTTGCGACAATCATATCACTAAGCCAGAATACATCCAGCTACAGATGCAGCACCTTCCACCGAAGCTGCCATTCTTGTGACAGGCGGTTTTCAGCCAAATGGCCGCTCAAATTTTCATTCTTCTCTTCTTCCTCTGCTTCCTGCAAAACGTACCCAGTTCTCATAGCAGCTAATATTTGGGGTCGCAAATGGTCCAAAAAAAGTCTTCACCATCCCCATCCGATATTATAAACAAGGTACAGTCCCACTGCATTCATATAATGTAGTTCATACGGAAGCTTACACTAGTTTTAGCCAAGCATCTGTCTATTACCCGAGCCTCTCACATCCCAGGTCACAAAAACACAACCCCTCAACCATCATCCCTTCTTACCTTCATCCCTCAACCCCTAACCCTCATCCCTTGAACCTCATCCCTCAACCCTTTCCCAATCCATTTATCCCTCCTACAGTATACGACATCGGTTTACATTTATCTATTACGTGCAATAAACTTTTCTAAATTCCATACGTTCATTGCTGTGGTCTTTGTTACTAAACAATCTGGTGCAGTCTGGTTAGTGGCGGATCAAGGACAGAAATCTAAACTAAAAATGGTTTAGTAAGATACTCAGATTGATCCCACTTGGGTTCCTCATGGCTCTGGAGTACCAAGAAAGTGATCAAACTTGACTACCTAGAGGAAGTAAAAGTCGTTGCAAGGTTAACGATCTGCCACCCCATCGGAGCCACTCGCCGTGTGCACATCTAATTTGATTGTGCCTGGATGCTAAGGGTTTCTCGCTCCTGCTTCTAGTTTCCCTCCCCTGGAATACACATCACCTGTCATAACCAAATCTTGACAGTCACAGATCAGAAAAAATAAGCCTAAAGGCAATAATTGGGGGCTGAGGCAGTACATTGCCCACAGGTCTGCCTAACTCACC